TAAATATTGTATTAATGTAGTAACATGTATCCTCACCACGGAGTTACCGATTTCATTGTTTTTAACTTTTGAAAACTATGTTTGGTATCAAACATCTTGCTATAATTTAAAAGTGACAAGAGATCTATTTGTTGAATTTTTGGTCAAATAAAATAAATAAATATATACGCTACACACATAGTAGGTGTATCATAAACACCAATGCCGTGTAAACGAGTAGAGGATTCTATTATTAAGTATTACATTGAGAATCTACGTTATTCAGTATAGATTTCAGGTTTAATTCAATTTCATTCTCGAGTTATCCTCAGTAGACAAAACTACTGCTACAATATCAACTGCGGGTATGCAACCTGTTCATTTATTTTTTGCCACAATCATATGTTTTCCAGCCCTATCAATTTATAGACTCGATGCATTTGTAAACGCCCGTAAGTAGTACTTTATATTTTACTTTTATTTAATGTTTATATTTTTACAAAGCACTTAATAAAAAAATATATTTATTACAATTTTGCTCAAGCCAGTCATCAGATGATAATTATCTAACCGTTAATAACTAAACATTTTCAAACGCTTTTTTGCTGTACACATATTACAATATTTTAAAATTATGCATTGTGTTTATCTTTATTTGTATAAAAAATTCTCATCTGGGTGACATAGATAATTAATTTTTGAAAAGTAGAAAACAATCAACAGTTACTAATATACCGTGATTACTGACTAAACTGTACATCTCAACTGCTGTACAAATTACTTAAAATCACATTCGCATAAAATATATATAGTTGTTTATATAAAATTGCTTGAATTATCGTTCACAGATCCCCAGGGTACAACGACATGGCCGAAAATTGAACCGGTAACCAATAAATGTTTGGCATGCATTTGCGAAGCCGTATCATCTTGTGATCAGAACAAAACGTGTAGCGGAGACCATCGAATGTAAAACATCAGCCAGCTGAGAAAAATAATCAGTTACCGGGGGTAAGAACGCATAAAACACGTAACGAAATAGCAAACCCAAAGATTAAAATAATTGATTAGTTCATTAATTATTAAATTATGGTATTTTACATTTTGTCATTTAGGCTGCGTAAAAATGTTATTTTAAAATAACAATTATTGTACGTATATTATTATATGTTGGCAGGTAAATTATTATATCGGAGATTGGGTGTCGGTGCTTTTTCAATATTTTAAACCGAAAACGGTCCAGATTGCAAGAACAACAGAAAACATTGATATACATTTTGAGTAGTTACGAAAATTATATACTGACTGATGTCGGTCTATGAACAACCATGGTTTGACCGAGGGATAACAATATTTTTGTTGTACGTTTTTAAGTATGCATTGCACAGTTTTGTTAACATTTTACGCGGAATAAATAAAATCACAACGTAACGAGTAAAATTTATTTTTTACCTATTCATAATAATCATAACAGAGTACATAATATTACGAGTTCATACACCTGTGTTGTAACTGTATTAAAAAAAAAAAAAAAAAGATGTTAACTACCAGAAAGAATACTAATATTTCCTTGAAAAAAAAAAACACATATTATTATCTTTGTATTCAACTTCACAAGCATTATATTCCCATGGTTTTTTTTTTTTTTCTTATAAATATACGATATTAATCACATACATGATATATGAAAACATATGAATTACTATACTGCACTGCAATGCATCAGCCTTGGGTAAAATCACTTTCTAAAATATTTCGAATTTAATTAAACAAGGACTAGTAGTATGCCGAGTATGTACGATTCCGAATTCAAATACATCATAACAATATTATTTCCAAAATATTTCGAATATTTCTTGAAAAGTATTCAGAAGATACAGTCTGGAAAACTTAAAGAATTACTTAAGGAAATTCGATTTTATACGATAATAGGAAACGTATTAAGGTTGCGTATTATAGTTTTCATGATATAGGCTAATAATGTATTTAATTATTATTAATAATAATAATGGAAATTCAATGGCTAAGAAAAAATATGATGATAATTTATTTTAAATTATTTTAACGTACATGCACTGTTCATATAAAACATATAGGAATATTAGTTTTTTATTTCTAAATTTCATTTAGAAATACATTCTTAAATGAAAATCAAATTTAGAAAAACTAGACTAATTAAATACTCCCTATAATAATAATACGTTTATTAATAATCTTAGACTTTTATTTTAGGGACCATGAAGTAAATTCTGTCGTTTTCAAAGGATAAATACTGACAACTAAAATTGTAGCTAATTTGAAATTACTAGTATTGTAAGAGGGTTAATATGAATTTTTAACTGCTTTTATTGTATATATTTTAAGTGTTCTAAACCATTACATATTATATGTTTTGTGTTTTTCACTATTAAAATATATCTTCGATCAAAAAATTACGTATAAACGTATATTTTTTTTCCTTCGACCAGTAGTTTTTTTTTTAGAAATTTATTCCTCAGATCTTTTTTAATTGCACATTTATTCTTTAGGCATCGTTTACTAGAAATTTACTGGACAGTGAAAACCAACAGAAACTTTAGTAATACCTGCCAATATTTTAAAAAAAATGTAAAACATTAATAAAAACAAGTTTGCTCTCTGCGAGTTTGCTAAGTTCTCGGTTTTTAAACGTGTTTTAAATAAAAAAATATAATGACAGATAATTTTGATTGATTCATATGAACTTTGATTTATGTTTATGGGTACAAATATAAATAAATTAAAATATCTTAATTCGTAAATAGAATTATATTTACTTATATTATCTATATTATAAATAATAATATAGGTTTGGTAAGTAGTTTGGTAGGTACCTATTCTTAATATTGGTTAGTATGAATATTTAAATTATATGTAATAGCATTGAGTATAGACAGTACCATCTAAAGCTATAATATTTAAAATTTTGGACAAAATTTGATTTTAAAATTCCTATAAAAAAAATACTACATTACACTCACTTTTTTTTTTTACCAGTAAGTAGGTACGACTTATAATGAATTTTCTGTCAAATTTTCAAGCATTTATGTTTAGACTAATCTTTTTATCTATAGAGTGCTAACTAAATAAAAAGTACTTAAAAGACTCATAAAATTAAAATATCTATAAAAAGCTCAAAAATGACTTAAATATTTTGACAATTTTTACCACGCATAGAAAAAGCAAATACAAGTTTTCAGGTTTTTTGTACAATTTTCGAGTCAACATTTTAAATTGAAAAACAACGAAAAAAAAAACAAAACCGTGTTCTGTAAATGTTCTTTCTACGATTTTTTTGGTTTTGCTTAATTCATAAAAAAACTAGAAAATAAAAAAAAAAGTCCTTACTCATCAACTAAGTTAAAAATTCAACAAAAAATATTTCTTGTCTATTTTCTGTTGAAACAATATGGTAGAAGATATAATTCGTAAAAATTGAAAATAATGAAATCGTGCGTCGAAAATTGGTTAGTTTTTCATTTTTCAGTTTTTTCCATTATTATGAAAACACCTTGATTAATCAGAAAACGACTTTATTCTTGAACATTTACTCACAGATCCAACATTAGTAATCAAAATTGGCATTTGGCCTTTCTGATTAAAGCAATATTTCTGGTAGAAAACATAGTTTGAAAAGATTAAAAATAATGAATTGGAAACCGCGCGCTTCATAAATATTTGCCGCTATAAATTGTTTTCCGATTTATCCCAATTATTTTGAAAACCACTTGAAAAAACAAAAAAAATGATCTTCTCAGTGAACCGACTAAATAAAATTTCCTTTCAGAAAAATAACTACACTTGATACATCGGAGCAAAATGTAGAAAAGTAGCTTACAGACACAAAAAAAAAGCACACATCATAGTCAAACCAATAGACAGATAGATACCTTGCTACGTTTCAAATCTAAGATACTACAATGTTTCGAACAATATGACATACGATTTCCTTGTTAAGCAAATCAACAACAGTAATTATACGGACGGACGGATGTAACGGCGATATAAGGTCTTCTTTAAACTTATGTTTAGTAACCTAAAAATTTGCGAGTTTTTTGTTTTATCAAAATTTGAAAGTCGAATAAAAAAAAAATCAAGACTAAGGATTTCCAATAGTGCCATCAGAACAATTTATGATGAACTCTTTATTATAATTGAATGCATGTTTAAAAACCTAAACTCATTTTATCTATATTAAACCAAATAAACGCTAAAAAACTTAACAATTTCAAATGGCTATAAATAGTTAAAATAATCTTCTGGAAATTTTTCTAACGTCTTTGTAAAATGACGTCTGATGTATACAAATATAAATTAACTAAAACTATATTAATATATACTCATATTATTATTGTTTATTATTATAACTACTCTGTGAAAATGTCTGATGTTCACGATTGTTTTCAACTCGAAAGCACTTGAGCGAGAAAAATAATTGTCCAAGTAATTATTGACTAAGTATGTTAATAAACTATATTTGATGTATACAGTGTTCTTTTTTTTCAATCGGGTTTTGGATCAGTGAAACACATGTAGAATAAAATAATTTTTTTTTTCATTCCTCAATCACTGGAAAAAAAATAACTATTTTTTCACTTTTCAAAATTTTCATAATAACCATTTTGTAACATATTATTCTATTGAATTAATCGTTTTCGCGCAAATTTTTTAGAAATTAAAACGGTTAATACCCAGAAACTATTAATCGGATATGAATGTATGGTACACTTAAATTTTTAGAATAATATTTATTACAAAATAATTGTATTGAAAATGTCGAAAAGTGAACACATTTTTTTTCTCCGCATATGTATATGTAACTGTATTTTTGTTCCTGAACAGGTAAATAAATAATAAATACAATAATTATTTAAATTGATAAAATATTATTCAAAATATAATCGTACATAATAATAGTACACATACCAATGGCGTATAAACGAGTTTTGGTGATTGCTGTATGGTTTCAATAAAACTATTGCCTTGCGAGTCGACTTTATTCACTTCCGCTGAACAGTTGACTCGAGTTAACTTAACAGTAGACAAAACTACGTGTATTTCAGACCCCAAGCTATTATATGTATTGCAAATATGCAGTCTGTTAATTTATTTTTCGCCACACTCTTCTATTTGACAGCTCAATCAATTTATGGATTTGTAATCGGCTGTAAGTATTATTTTAATTTAGTTTTAAATTTTTTGTACGAAACGCTTAAGAGGTCACCATGCCCAAAATCATCTACTGATTCAGTCTAACAAACGGAAAACAGTACAATAATTGCAATACATTTAGAATGTAAATTGTGGTGTTTGGGTAAGTGTTCATTGTAAGATTGAACATAATTAACACGATTTAAAAAAAAAAATATTACTGTAACTTTTTTCTAAAAAAATTGTACACAAAAAGTTGCAGCTATTAAAAAAAAACAAAAATCCCTATAACTTTTTTGTATGAACATTTATTTTAAAAATCTTTTTAAAGTTCGAACTCAATCACCATAATTTACGTTCTAAATGTATCGACATTTTTTAGTGTTACTTTTAGTGACTGAAATAGTTGATGGCACCCTCCTAATAATAATAGTAAAAAAGAATTAAAAAAAACCATAACATTACGATAGTTTCGATTTAGTCTAGTCATCAAATGCTTTTTTGTACATATTTTTCAAATCTTTAAAATTTTTATTACACGTTTTTTGAATGGCAGTTATTCACATAAATCAGAAACAGCCTAAACTACAAACCATAACAGAAGATTGTTTTAAATGTATTGTTGTATCCATATCACTGAATAACGGAAATCTAACATGTGGTGGAGACCTATGTGGACTGTTTGGTATTACGCGTGCGTATTGGGCTGATTCGGGGAAACCAGTCGTGCAAAAAGATGATCCAAATGATAACTATGGTAAGATATCTAATTAACTGCATATAATTAAAAAGATAACCCTTGATTTTTGTCAAAACTTGAACTCAAAAGAGTTAAAAAAAACCAATACCACACTCAATTTTTTTTTCTACTAATTAAAAATTATATAAACCTCGTGTAAAATTATCAATCATTTCTGCTGATTTTAAATCTCAAAAATATGAAATGCCTTATACCTTAAAAGATTTCTAGTACCAGTATTCATTTAAGTGGGCATCCTCATTATTTTGGAAAATATTAACTTTTTTCAAATTTAAGAAATAAGCAGTTCTAAAATATTATATTACCATTATTTTTAATAATAATAACCTACTTTTGATTTTTAAATAGCAATCTATATTTAAAATTCCATAAATGGATGTAATATTAGTTAAAACGAATTTTAGTGCTGACATTTTTGATTTCCGTTAACCCGTTGACGAGACATTCCTCTTTTAAGTTTGGGTAGAGGAAAAGTAATGAAGCATAATTTCTGTGGCTGCATGGGGTGCAGCGTTTTAACAATACGAGATAGTTAGTTAACCGACTTCAATGGAACACTCGGTAAAAAAACAGTATCGAAAAAATCGAGAATCATGAAACTTTTATTGCCGTCAATTTATCCGGTTTTCTAGAAGTTTTATTTCGGTTTTTTTTTTATAATTTTTATAAAAATTACTTACAAAATCGAAGTATTACTCAAAATTCAACAAACATGTCCTTTTTTTATTTTTTAACCCAACCACCGGCTTGCGATTACTTAGCTGGCAATGACGAACGACATGTTATATATTATGTTGTGTTATTAAAATATTGAACTTCGATCAGAATCTCTTCCAATTTTGTATGTTATCTGAGATTACATATCTCTTTTCGTTTGCAATATTTCATTATTGTGTACAGATCTAAACTAAATAAATCTTATACATCTTCCTTTCAACGCCCCGTCTACAAGTAGCTCACCCACTGTGTAAAGTGTGTTCGTATTTTTATTTTATGTTCAAAATAATATGTTATAATACTGGGATATCACAATTACATGGAATTTTTATTTTAGTAGAACTGGTTTTAGACCCAATTTACTGCCCAAATATACTTCTCTGGACGATCAATTAGATTCGTCGGCCGGTTTTATATTACGATAAAATATTACTGTACACTTGAATATTTCATCTTGCCTGGTCCAGGACTAATTGTTTGAAAATATAAAACTAGAAAAACGTTAATGATATGTTAGGTTTCACCAGAGTAACCCTATGGCCTACCCGTCTAGGTTTCGCGTAACAAATCGAGAGTTAATGTTGATTAAGTATAGAGGGAAGGGGTATTTCTCCCATTATAATACATAGGTAATGTGTACGAGTATTGAAGATTGAAATTGATTTCAAAATTCATCGCTAAGGACACAACGAAAATTTCTCCTACGTTTGTCAATGCAGATGTAATCAAATATAGGTATTTCACTATACTATATAGTATATACAAAGAGCATATTAACTCTGAAATAAAATTTAAAAAAAATCTATTTTTATTTTGCCAGGTATGGTTTTGAAAAATAACGATTTTGATATAAATAACGAAGATTTTAGAGTGCCAAGGTAGCGTTTACATTTGTTCTAAATTCGAAGAGTTAATATATATAATAATAATGAGTATTGAGTATTAAGGTAAAGGAAAATAAATTTAAAAACATCTTCAATATACATACAGATTTTAAAAATAATATTTTATCCCAATATAATAAGTATAGGAAGTATGATAATTTATCGAGGTCACCAATATAGGTACTGGATCGTTATCGTCAATGGTAAGATGTCGAAGAAACACTGGTAAGAAACACTTTGTACATCTTTTTTTTTATTGTTATTAACCTTCTCTTGTAACTCTGTTTTTTGAGAGGGAGTAATGCAGTGGTTGGTAATACTATACTAGAAGGATGCCAAAAAAGACGTTTAACCAACAATCAGTCATTTTTTTGGATATATTTCCTCGTTATGTATTTTTGTGTTTTTATAATATAAAATAATAAAATAAGATATTTTTTAGTGTTATAATTAATAAATTATTATTAAATATTATTTCAACATCTTACGTATTGTATTTAATATATTACTAATTTTAAAACTAGTTTTATAGTTCCATGGTTGAACAGTAAATCGAGGATCAAAATGTAATGGTCGATTAAATTTCGGCCATTTTGTTCTGATTGGTTAATTAATGGTTGAATCATAGTGCGGTTGTTTTTATATAATATTTTCGTTATTTTTACTATAGTTGGTTCTTATTTAAGTGATACTCTGTTTTATCGCCAATTATATTATCATTTTACCCAAATAATAATAACTAATTATTCATAATTTAAAATCTCTTTTTATTATTATTTTTAATCTTATTATTATATTATTTTTAATTTCAATTAATTAAATCAATTTTATAAGATGTAATCAAACTGGTTCTAAAAATGTTTGACAATGTTTAACAAAATCACCGTTCTGCCAATTTCACAACCCCGGGGTCAGATCTTTTAGTTTCCCTAGTTAAAAAGTACAAGTCTATTATAGAATATATGAAAACAGATACCATAAATGCAAGGTAGGTTAGGTTAATTTAACCTTGCTAATCAGTACGAGAATAGATATGATCGCCTATAAATCAATTGAAAACCGAGATATATAATTTGATAATCGAAATCTGTCAAAAAATTAACCGTCTTTCCAGGTAAAATGGTTAGTACTAGGGTTTAAACACTGTTGTCCAGGAAATGCGTTCAATATAGCCAAGTTGTCATTCCTCGTCTTCATAATCATAATATTTCTCAAAATTATCGTTATACATCATTTTAGATATTGGTTATTGTACTTATTTGCCCGATAATACAATTACAATGGGTACATAATATTGCAATTCTCCGCTAAATAAAATCGAACGACATCTTGTCCAGATATATTTTTTTTTCCTTCACAATTTCTAAATAATTGTTTTAAACTTAGAGGTATTCAAAGTTTAAAAAATATTTAATAGCTTTATAATTAAATAAATAATTATAAACTATTAACAGCAGTATGGTACTTTATAAGCTAAAAATACGATTGATGTAATAGAGACGTATTCTAATAAATAGATCAAAAACTTTAGTACACTAATTAAAACTTTTAGTGTGCAACCATTCAAAAATGTATACACTAATATTTTGTACTATAATTTTGCATTAATAGTTTAAGTGAAACATGATATTTTAGTATACTAATATGATATGGTACACTAATATAAAATTCAAAAATAGACGCCCTGAAGATGATGTTTGAGTCAAAAACTTATTGTAAATAACGTACAAGTTATTATTATTTTTATAAATAATACGTTTTGACGTATTTTCAGCGTATTCCAGGTGCGCCAAAGACCCGGCGTGTGCTAAAGAAGCAACCAATAGTTATTTGACCAGATTTGCCCAGGTAATTATACCTACATACCTAGTCATAGGCGTATGTATCGTGAGATTTGACAATCGAATCAACATTTTTGTCAATTTATTTATTTTAGATTCTGAGTAGAGCGAAGAAGCTTATGGTTTTACAAAGACGTTTATTTTTCATTTTATTTTTTTGGATAAATTTTCTACCAGAAATTTCGATTCAACTTTTAATGATAGCAATTTTTCTAAAAAGAAATTTTAATGGGGTGATACTAGAGAAGTCATTTTTCGATTTTCTCCGGAGTTTTTTCAGCACATGTGAAAAACTGGGGAAAAACATAGGAAAACCGGGGAAATCGGTACAACATAACACAAATATTATTAAATATTTAATATTTAATTTATTTAATAATATTATTATTATAAAACATATAGACCCTGCTTAATTATTTTACTATATGGCATATATATTGTCGACAAAGTAACACTATCAACTGAATTCCGCTCAGAAACGTTTTTTCGTAAGCAATAGTTTATCGTTGCTGACAGATATACATCAAATTACCTATAACAATGATTGCACTCATCCCCATTATCCTAGGACGTCTTTTTTCTATTTTATTGTAAATTACAGGACTGCAATGGTGACGGATTCATTGATTGCTCGGATTATGCGTCCATTCACAAGCTCGGTGGTTACAATTGCAGTGCGCCGTTGGACAACGCGTATAAGAACAAATACTATTCATGCTATAAGAATGCGAATCGGCAAGATGACGTCCAAGTGCACAGTTATATTTTACCGCTAGTGATAAAAAACCGACCGGCGGATCTGAGTGATCGTCCAGAAAAGTATATTCGAGCAGTAAATTCGGAAGGATACCACTCGCTGAAGAAAAAGGAGAGGAGTCGGTCAGCGGAGACGAGGAGTGAAAAGGAGTTTGAACAGTTTGAAGAGTTCGAGAATGGAAATGAAGACTGGGATGAAATCAAGGACGATGATGATGATTCGGATGAGTATTATGATCCGGACGAGCACGAAGAGATCTACGGGGATAACGAATAGAATTCTTGGGCGTACACTACACATCTCGGTTGATTTTTACACCGGAAATATATTTTATATTTATTGTATAGGTTAGGTATGATTTTGTTCGCTATTTAATAAGAGAGATGTTACTATAGTTACTATACAATAAATCATATCTGTATATAAGTACCGTGATTCTGTATAATAATCCATAATACGATGGATTTTTCTCGTAGATGTAATACAAGTATAATCGTATATTGTAATTATTATCCACAACTCTGTGCCGGTAGACATAAAGCAATTAATTACGCCACGACGGAATATTATGTGTGTGTATATATATATATATGAAAAAAAAAAAATATATAATGATAATAATAATATCGTATACACCAGCGAAATATTTATGGCCACAATTGTACAAACGAGTTATGGAGATTATCGTTATTATTATCGGTGTATAATGCACTCTGTCGGACTTATTATGATTTAATGGGTTTTCCAAGAGTAACTTATATTATCGCCTGGAGAATCGTCGTTATTCGTCATTGCGCGTGTACGAAGGCAGTCGATCCGAGTTCACCTACTCCATATTACAGCCGTGGACATAATAAAATACGTATCTTTTACCGTAACGATGGCCGTTCGTTTATTTTCCGCTACGCTAGTATGTTTCACAACACTGTATTTTTGTGGACTCAATGACGCCCGTAAGTTTTCTTTTTTCATTTATGTTTATTATTTCTTATACCTAGTATAAACGGTAATATTTCAAGAAATACACGTTTGAAATTTTTGCAAAATCGTTTACAATTCTGTAAAATGTCAAAAATAATATTTTAAAAATTAACAATATTTTAACATTTCAATAAGACCTTACCACTGATCTACCGTCCGATATCCATTATTGGTTATTTCAATTTGAAATCAAAATATTATTGAAAAACAACGTTCAATTCTGTAGGGAGCCTTCTTTTTTCCAACGTAAAATTAATCATCGAAATCTGAATATTCTACACGAGAAAACTCGTTAGGTATGTTTTTGAGCCAAAAAACCGTGGTAATGTATGAACTTCGTATTTTGATAATACGTTTTTATTCGATTTACAGTACGTACATTTTACCAGCAGTCCCTCCCACATTGCATTTTTTTTTGCAAATATTTTGAATGAATTAGTACGCCAATCACCACAAATTGTATGCTTTTAGTTTAGACGTTATGCTAAAAAAAACCATGTGGAGGGGGAGCTGGTGTTTCACTAATAAAACGCCTAAACTACAAACGTGGAAATTATGGCGATAAACATAGAAATGCATACTAATTGCATGTTAAATATTGGCATAAAAAAAAATTTTAAACTGGTGAAATGTATACGTTACAGCAGCAAAATATTATCGGAGATAAATATGATAACGGTAAGTCAGTAGGTAATCTAGAGTCAACAAGTTATTTTATTTTGATTTGTAATATTTTTTATGGTATTACGATATTATATTAAATTTTGTATACAACATTTTTTTTATATCAAATTTTATGTCTTTTGTTACACAGAACTCAGATTTAAGTGATACGGGTCGATATTTTACTTAAAAATAAATTGTATCTATCTAAATAATTATTTTCTCTATTAAATACCTACAAATTGAGCTGTTCACAATGATATTTTTTGAAATTGCGAAATTGCTTTGTTCAATGCGGAAAATGTTAATTTACTTTACTTTTGAAACTAACATTTATGCCTCAAATAATTGTTTTAAGTGTATTTTTGACAAAAAATTCCTATTATAACTGTTTACGTTTCAATGCCTGTACACATTATAATAATTGTTAATAATGTTATTGTTTTATAATGTCGGATGATCCTCTGGACAGATCCTCAGACTACACTGACATTGTCGACAAAAAAACAGATAACCGAGAGTTGTTTGGGATGCATTTGTGAAGCCATATCGTCTTGTGACCTGAACCAAACGTGTAGCGGTGACGTTTGTGGACCGTTCCGTATTACGTGGGCGTATTGGTCCGATTCGGGATCGCCGGTTTTGCAAGGAGAAAGTCCACAGGACCAACTTGGTGAATGTTTTATAAAATTTTAACCGATTACACGGTTTTTCACGTATAATTTTATTAGGGACGGGCATGAAATTCGAATATCCAGATTATCCTAGTATCCGGATTTGAATCAAATTCTTATCCGGATTTTTTGAACTATCAGGATTATCCGGATTTTAAACCCGGATTTCGATACGCTCGTTAATTAATTATTATAGTCTGGTAAAAAAATATTACGTTGTTTCGTTTATAAAATACATAACTACGTAATGATGCGCGTATTATCGATGTCTACGCTGTACGTCAAACGGCAGAAAAAAGTATTCCACGGCCACGTCGGTAAGTTCCCGTACTTACTACGGGATTTGCATTCAATTCTCGAGACAAGTTATATATTGTGATGTGTGCAATATCATTATAAATTATAAACGACAACTCAATGCTTATTGTTAAACTGTAGAACAATAAATAATGTTATTGTTTCTATATTCCCTAATTATATTCGTCCGCATTTATAGTGTTCCTCGGAGCTATCTAAATTCGTTAATATACGTTTATAACGTTTAGGTATAACAATATTATTGCCAACGCACTGCAGTTTTTACTGGGTGTTAAACACGTACGTATACTCAGTAGGTAGGTAAGTACTTTGAAATATTGTAACTGTCTGTTATAAAGTAATTATTACGAAATTGTAGTACACGCGCAAACATTAATATTCAATTATTTACACCATTTTTATGCCGATTTCTTTTCGGCATTGCCCATATTATCATACTACAACGGCCGTTTAATTAAATACCAACTATGATATTGCGTGAACATCTTAGTAATATGAAATTTTTAACGGTCGGATACGTTCGAAAACCATACGTTGTATATGAAATAATAACACGACTTAAACGGTAGCAATATAAACATTGACAAATATAACAGATTTATAAAAGTTCGTAAACTGAAGAATTCGAGCATCAGAAGCGCGGGCTAGATAACCTTTTATAGAGTGGTTTTGAGTATAATAAAATACGTATACCCATTACACTATGAACGAATAGTAGATAGGTATTATGTGGATACTATATTTTTTTTTTATGTAGATTGTAAAATATTAAAAAAAGAATTTTACTTTGAGTTTTTTTTTTTTTTTTTTTTTTTTTGTAATGTAAAAACGCTGTTTGAAAGACGACACGTGTATTCAAATACATAAGCATATCGACATATTATAATACAGTATATACACTCACTGGGACACGACCGAAAAGTATTATGTATGCAATATTTTAAATTATTCAAAAACATATTATTATAATTTTTTGTAAAACGACTATAATAATAACACAATAATATGAATACTATAGGTGAAATTTAAATTTGACAAGTATTACACGTGAGACAACCCGTAATCTATATATTTATCGTCTGTCACGCGGTTGGAAATTTGAAAACATGTCCTAGAAGAATTGAAATATTTTATTAATTTATAATTTATTTTTCAATTTCACGGCGTGAGCAATATCTTAATATTTCGTGAATAGTAATCAAATATAAATATAGTTAAGTACGAATATTCAAGCGTTTTTTGATCATGACAATTTAGTATTGATAAAAGACAAACCTTATATGATTTTGTATAATTAATATTTTACTTAATGAGTATTTTATTTTAGGAGGTTCAGTTGAGTTTTTTGCGTGGGAAGGTTAGTTGAATCCTCAAAAGGCCCTTCCCCTATTTGTGTCAATACACGAGATAAGGTTACTACTAATTTTTGAAAAAAAAATGTATATCTAGTAGGTTTTTTTTTTTAAATATATTGGCGGGAAATTTCGCAGGGGACGCAGCTGCCTCTTCTGCCTCCCCCGTGCGCACACTTATGAGTATACGTATAGTGAATCGTTTACAAGTCGTATAACACTCCAATAAATTATATACAGGACTTATATGTATGCATATTATAATATTAATTTTTTTGTTTTCAGCATACCCGAGATGTACCAACGACCCGACATGTGCCAAAAAGGCCACCATTAATTATTTAACCCGATTTGCGCAGGTAAGTCTTTAATGAGTAAAACACAATTGCGTACGACATTACTTGATTTTTAGTTCACAATTTTAAGTATTGTTGCCAATTTTAATACCGGTATACTTCATATGAGTGAATTAGAAATAATGCATAAATACTTTTCATTTTTCCATAAACGATAATTTTACGTTATCTCATAATTTTACCGTTATTTCAAATGTACACGTATTTTCTGCCCTTCAGTTCGTCGTCGATTGTCATACGTATGTATATTTGATCGACGTTTAGTAATATCGAAATTTCTATTAAACTTATAAAAGTCGAAAAAGGAAAATAATTACTTTTTTTAAATTTTAATAGACAAGACCGCGATTATTCAATTAATATTAATAACAGGAAAATAAAGAAAATAGCAAACACTATTTTATTCGTATTATGTTGGTATAAAATCCATACAAATATATTGCAATATTTAAACGTATAAGTTTATAAATGTTCAGAAATTCAAATTAAGATATTTTGAATTAATTTTTTTTTTTTGTTATAATATTTTACAGTTCAGATAAAATTATTGTACTAGATTATTATTGAGTATATAGTAAACATTTGACAACGTTTCACATGAATTATCATACGCAATCGTGTTGATTACTTTTTTTTAAAAAGTCTTCTTAAATATTTTTTAATTTATCGAAAAACATACGCAATCGTGTTATCAAAAAAGACAAACGTACGCAATTGTGTTTCACCCGTTTTTATGATGACAGTATTTTTTTTGTTTTTTTCATAAAGATTTTAATATCAAATTTTTTACGAAAACCGTAAATATAACGCCCTTTCAAAACATGTATAACCGAACTCCACTCCAGAATCGTTTTTCGTTAGTAAAGATTGTATTTTCTTGTTGATATTATTGCAGGATTGTAACGGAGACGGAATCATAGATTGTTTGGATTACGCGTCTATTCATAAACTCGGAGGTTATGGTTGCAGCGGGCCGTTGGACAATGAGTATAAAACCAAGTTCAGCTCTTGCTTCAACAAAAATAATCTGCCGAACAACGGCCAAGCGTACGTTTTACCGTCCGTTGACGAGAAAGGCTTGCAAATCACAACCACGGAGGAGATCCACGAACTCGATTTAAGAATACCGATTTGAATACTGAAGGAAATTTAAAACGCCAATATGAAATCGACCAAAAAATATCGTTAACATTTAATAGTTTTTAGTTTGTGGTTTACATTGAACTTAATTTTCCCAAAGAATCTGAAATCTGTTTAGATTTCAATAAATATCATATATATATCTATATGTACGTGACTTAAGTTCATTAAAATATCGGTATTCATCCAACTTTGTACATCGTATATACTCGTATGTCTGTAATATTGTATAAGACAAGATCCATGTGATAAGTCAAATTTAATAATTTTATAGTAATAATATTATAATTGAAATTGTTTTTTCGAAATTCCAAAACAAATATGTGACAAAATTTTGTAAAATTGTATGTAACAATAATGCACTTAATATACAATATAATCTTTGAAAGTTTTTACGTGACAGTGACAGTGCTTTCCACGTATGTCTCTTGTCTATATATTACACCCAATGTATTCAGGTCTTGATTCAACCCGTCCATCCATGCATCACCCATTGATGTCCTCTTCCCAGTGAGTCGGTCTCCAATCAACAGTGGCATTTATGTTCACTGATTCAGGACTCCTCATTACATGTCATGACCATTATCATTTGGTTTACTATGCATTCAAACAAATTTGGTAACTATGGTACTCCTGTCATCTTCTGGATTTCCTTGAATTTACTTATACGTCAGCGTCCCGAATTCGTATTCGTTTTTTTTTTTTTCAAGGGATGGCCAATATAAATATATTAAATTAATGATTATAGTATATAATAAAAGTATTTAATTACGCAATAAAACTTCTTTTAATTTTCATATCTTGTCTACTTATTGTTTATTTTTCAGTCTTCGAAAAAAATATAATATTGGCAATGTCAATTTTTTGAAAAAAATCAGTCAGAGTAAAAAAGAAAAAAATGTGTGAACAATTTTTTATTTTCTAAATGAAAATTGTTTGAGTTTTTGTAAAAAATAAAAATTAAACAAACATTTACATTTAATAAAAGACATAGAGCTTTATGGGTAATTAAAATTTTACAACTCATTTCCAAACAATCACAATGAGTGACATTGGCCCTTCTTGCACCAAGCTACGGATATATAAATAATATATGTTAATATAATAATAATAGAATACATAATTTTATATATATAATTATATTATATTGTGAATCAGAACTTTGGTAAAAAAAATTATTTACTAATGATAAATCGCTAGTTTCTTACAATATTTTGAAATATTACATTTCTTCTATGAAAACTATAGGACTTAGGTGCTTAAGGAGTTTTTTGTCTTCCTTGAAAATGTAAAAAAAAAATGTACCCTTCTGGAATTACTGATTCATATATATGAAAGCAAACATATACATGTTTGTTTTCGTGAATTTTTTTATATGACTAGTAAGGTTATGTAAGATAAAAAACTTATGTTCTAAGTTGCTAATGTCGCACGTTAATAAAACAGAGAGAACCCCTGCGTGTATAACGTCCTCTTAACCAAAAGATGTATCCACATATTTATAATGATTTATTTTATGCAATAACTACAACCACAATGCAACTTTTTGTAATACTGCGCCCAGTTTTCTTTCAATTTCAAATGCACGTCCATACATCATTGATCGATGTAGTCAGTATACATTTATCAGATGACTGAGGTAGGTGTACAGTATATACTATCGTAAGTTGATCTGTATAATAATTTAATATAATTTATATTTGTGTTTATATCTAAATCAATGTGTACTTATTTTTTTTTTTTTTATGTAGTACTAAATGTTTTAATATTAACAACGACATAAAAATATTGGTTTTATTCAAATTCGTAAAAAAGTTTTTCCATACGAATTTGTAGCATTTGGATGGCACTAGACATTTTAAATATTCCAATGGCCGTTATTAACTTATAACACGTTATGTTTGACGGGTGAACTACAATGATACAATCCAGCGTCACGGTCGCAACACAGAGCTAGGTAAAAAAAAAAAACATCTCGTGCGTCAACCGTGGTATATTACACGAGACGGCCAACTCCTATTTGACCTGTTTAATTTTACGACTAATGGTCTGACCTGTCTGTAGCCTAAATTAATGCATGATTGTTTTGAAATTTACACGAGTTGACCAGTATTTTATTTAGATAATACTTTTCTAAATTTCAAGTTAATCGGACGATTACAGCTTGAGTAATATGCAAAAGTGTTAGCATAGTTTTTACTCGGAACGCTATTTATTTTTTTTAAACAATTCAACAATGTATATATTGTAGCATTGTTACCATCTGTTTGCGACAGTTGATGTTTTCAAAAAATAATTTTGTTTATTTATTTTATCGCTGTATTACTATAGTATCGTTTTGCAGCAACGTTTATAATAAGCTATATTCATGGCTATATACTATAATATGAATATATTTTATTAATTTACTTAATCTCAAAAAACAACAAAAATATTTTGTCCCCATAATTTTTGACTCGATAAAAAAAACATTGGTTAACTATATCCAAAATTTTAATAAAAAAATAAGTGATATCCCAACAAAAACCCTCCGCCAACTCCGAGTAAAAACCTCGCTAAGAAAAAAAGAAAGTTAAAGAAAGTTAAAAAAGTTGTGATATCAAAATGGGGCTAAGTCATTTCTTAAATTCAATGGTATAGAAATTGTTTATAATTGCTTATATTTGGTGAAGTGCGGTAATTTAATACAAATAATTTAACTTACCATGGTGGCTATTCATAGTACTATGGTAATATTAATAAATTATAAAATTTTAAATGAGGATGTGAATATTCATGTCGACATTGTATGTCTTAATTTGTAGTCGTGAATATTAGAAGCCGCCAAGTTAAGTTAAATTATTTATATTGAATTATCGCATTTCTTCAAATACAAAGAACTATAAATAATTTTAATACTAATAAATTTAAGAAATTACTTAACCCCGTTTTGATGTCACAACTTTTTCTAACATGAGCTTTTTTTTAGCGAGGTTTTTACTCGTAGTTGACGGAGGTTTTTTGTTCAGATATATTATACAGATATGTTATCTGAAACAACTTATGTTCTGTACAATATTTATAAGTTTTTATTTGTAATAACTGCTAGAGCTTTGCGCTATGATTCCTCTATTTTATATATTTTACATTTTTTTTAAGACTGAAAATAAGATTTTAATTTTTACGAAATCCAAGGTAGCCCATTGTATAGATAAATTTTGAAACAAAACTTTAATGTTAAAAAAATATAACCAAATAATTATTCGTTTATTTTCTGTAATTTTTACTAATTATAATAAAAATTATTTTCACTTCCACTACGAAATAATATAAATTTGTCAATCTGCCAATAATTTGTCTATGAATAATAATTTTGTTATTGATTTTTGTAAACATTGTACAAATTTTAGTTACTTCACGATTCATAATTAGTACATATTTGTAATTTTGTTATGATTCCTATACTTCAAAATATTACTAAAAGGATAAAACAGAAAAATATTGTACAGGAAAAGATTATTTCTGACGTCAGGTGTTTTTCCCTGTACACTATAAATAATATATTAAATTTCCCAATAAATGCCACTTAAACGAGTTATGGTGAAATATATTACCTTGAGGGAACGATAATTCATTATTTAATTTCATTCAAACTTAACTTTAATTTCAGTCTCAAATTATCTATTATAAACATAACTACTGTCTTAATATCTACTGCAGACATGCAGTTTGTTAATTTAATTATCGCCTCAACCATCTGTCTTTCAGCCCTATCAATTTATAGACTTGTAAATGCCTGTAAGTATCCAACTATATTTAATTTTTTACCAATATTTATATTTTTACAAAGCACTTAATGAGAAAATATTAGGTATTAATACAACGTCGATCTAATCATGTCGTCGGATGATTATTTAAAACATTAATTACTAAAAATCCAAAATGCGTCTACATAAACATAAATACATAAAAAAAAAAAAAAAAATTTAAAAACAACTTGTCTGCTTAAATAACTGATTAAAAAAGGGAATTACAGAAAATTACAGTTATTTAAATACTGTAATTACTGACTATTCAATACATTTTAACGGTTGTACGAACTATTTAAAATCATACTCGCTTAAAACTAAAGATAGTTATTGTATAATATTTCTCGAATTATTGTTTTCAGATCCTCAAGGCACAAAGACACGGCCCACAATTGAACCGATAACCGAGACATGTTTGAGATGTATTTGCGAAGCCACATCATCATGTGACCTGAAACTAAAGTGTGACGAAAACGTAGACGGAGACCGAGACGTTTGTGGACCGTTCCGTATTACGCAGCAGGATTGGATCTTTGGGAACTCACCAGTTTTGAAAGAAGAAGATCGTAATTTGACAGACAGACTCGGTAAAATTTTAAAATAAAACCTGTACGATTAGTGCTAATAGTTATAAAGTTTCAACACGTGTATATATAGGATCGTAAAAATGTAATATGTTATTCCAAAAAAAATTGATTCTAATTTCGATAGGTAAAACTAAATTATCCAATTTATAACCGCGTGTAACACATACTTAAAGGTTAAAAAGGGGGAAGGTATTCCACTTTATTTTGTAGGTAAGATCTTGGTATTTCGCATGTGTGTGCAATTAATTTTATAACACTTATAATAAGTCTATAGAGTATTTACTGATGTGTAATACAAAACAATAAATAATTATTTGTGTACGCCTCCTTTCATATTTTTTTCAGTAAATTCCGAATATCCCGCGAAACTTTCTAACTTCATTAGAAGGCGTTTATTGTAACAATATAACTAACTGCTTTTCAAATACATTTTTTGATATTAAAATTAAGTATAAATTAATTATTTATTTAAAGTAACAATCTATTATAAAATGAAATTAAAATTAACTACATGCAATTTGAAGAAATTGCATATAATATTTTAAATATGTACACATATACCACACACACACACTTTTATATGCTTAACGCACATTTTATTTTATATCTTGATTGTAGTTTAATATAAACAGCAAAGTTACGGATACCAATAATATGTTGTGGTGCGTTTTCAGCATTCTGGAGGTGTGCCAACGACTTGAATTGTTCTAAAGAAGCCACCAAACATTATGTGACCAGATACGCTCAGGTAAACTATATACATAGCGATCAACCCTCGATAAGATCCTCATTATCTTGGAAAGTATATACTCTTTCGGAATTATTATTTTTTTTAAGAGTTTACGAAACAAGTAACTCTAAATTTAACATTTGAATTATATTTTGTCAACCTTATTTTAAGGGATGAAACAAATCTACACTTTTTATTTTAGTTAAAATACATTTTGGTGTTGACATATTTAATTTCCGTCAGCCTGTTGATAGTATATTTCACTTTTAAGTTCAGGTAGGGGGAGATTACTGTAGTACTATTCAAATTATTTGTACAGTTTAGCTTTAGAAATTATGCTCAGTTACCACTCTCATCCTATAAAAAATTTAAAAGTGGAATATCTCACAAACGAATTTCAACACCAATAATGTATCTAAAACGTCATATATTTATGGGATTTTAAACATGTGATGTTATTAAAAATAGCATACGAGATTTTAAAAGTACTAGTCCCTTAAGTTGTCAAAAAAAAATTTGCCGTTTTCAGATTCTATAATATTATATAAGCACACACAAAGAAAAGAACTGACACTGGGTTCCTCTGTTGTATTTAGGAAGTTGGGAAGGTAGGATAAATAAAGTTATTTAATTTATACCAGTAAGTAATGATAAACCATTAATAACGAAAAATGATTCGGAACGAAGTTCGATTATACTTGTTTTGAAAGGCCGTAATAAATACTATTTTTGTCATAATTTAATTTAATAACTCGTGTAAGAAAAACAAAATACTACATTACATTCATTTTTTTACTGATATGTGAGACTTTTAATGAACCTTCAGTCAAATTATCAAGCATTTTTGTTTAGTCAAACAATTTTGTCAACGGACTACCTACCAAATAAAAATGACGGTAAAAACTTATAAAATGTCTATAAATATCTCAAAAATGGCACAAATGTTTTTAAAAATTTTCCAAGTCTAAAAAAACAAATATAAATTTCATGTCAAAATTTGAAGTATAAGAATATTTTTAACTGAATTAAACAAAAAAAAAAATGAAAATAATAAAAGAATTATTTTCGTAAATATTCCCGTTCTTTCTAAGTTTTTTTCTGGTGTTTCTCAATTATTATGAAAACTACTTGGAAAATCAAAAACCGAATGACTTAATAAATAAATTAAAAATACAAAAAAAACGGTTTCTTATTGTCTTTTTACCGGAACAACATTTTTGATAAAAAACATAAACTATACAAATTGAAAATAAAGGAATCTTAACGCCGTAGATTTGTAAGTTTTCATTTAGTTTTTTTGGTTTTCATTAATTATTATAAAAAATAAACTTAAGGTATTAAAAATGACTTTTCTGTCAAAGGCTATTTATTAAAAAGAAACAAAATCAGTATATTGTCATTTTTCGTTCGGAGCAATATTTCTGATAGAAAACATAGTTTTGAAAAATTAAAATCAATAAAATCGGTATCGCCGTTAATATTTGTCATTTTACCTATAATTTTCTTTCTTGTTTTTCCCAATTATTTAAAATAAAAATTACTTGGAAAATCAAAATATGACCACTCTACTGCACCAATTTGAAAAATCTACCTTTTAGAAAATAAAAACCATAACTAAAATTTATAAATCACTACGATCTGAATATTAAAAAATTCCGAAAATGTAAGTACTTTTCGAGATATTAAGATAATGTACTATCGAGAATTCATCACACTAAAACGCGTACGAGATTCGAAATCTTCATTGATTAATTCATTCATTTTTTGTACTTTATTGTAAATTAAAGGACTGTAACAACGACGGAGTCATTAATTGCTTAGATTATGCGTCCATTCACAAATTCGGTATGGCAAGTTGCGAAATTCCGTTAGACAATGGGTATAAGGATAAATACGATGAATGCTACAAGAATAGAAATAATCGGCAAGATGACGTCCAAGCGAAAATGATCATTCCGCTGAACAATATGAACACAAAGAGGAATAATAGTGCAGATTCATTGATTTTGGAAAAAGTGATAAATCAGCTAGTGGCAGAAAAGATTTCAGGGGAGGGGAATGTGAAGAAGAATATAGAAAATAACAAAAACAAAGATAAGAATGAGAACAAGGATAAGGAAAAAAACAAAGATATGGATGATGAGAGTACAGAGAAGGATATTAGTGTATATTCAAGAGAATATTTTTTGAATTTAAAAAAGAATAGAAATCAGTCAGAGAGAAAGAACATTCCAGGGGAGATAAATGCGAACAACGATGATTACAAGAACGAAGATAAGAATGCGAACAAGAATAAGGACAAAGACGAGAATAAAGATGATGAGGGTTCAAAAAAATATATAAAGGCATATTCGGAAGAATATTACTTGAAATTCAGAATATTGATAAATAAGTCAATGGAAGAGAAAATTTCAAATGAAGAGAATAAGGGCAAGAATTTGAAAGATGATGGGAATGAGAAAGATGATGATGATGATGAAGATGAAAATGGGGATGTAAACGATGATGAGGATAAGAAAAACGACAAGGATGTGAACGAGGACGATGTTAAGGATGAGGAAGATAATGATGAAGATGAGAATGGGGATGAAGATGATGATGACGAGGATGAGGACGATAATGAAGATGAAGACGATGATGATGATGATGATGATGATGAAAATGATGATGAAGAAGATGATGAGGATGAAGATGTTAAAGATAAGGATAAAGACAAGGATAAGGACAAGAATGAAGACAAAGATATGAACGAGGATGAGGACGATGATGATGATGATGATGATTATGATGAAGATGATGATGAGGAAGATGATGATGGCGAGGATGAGGACGATAATGAAGATGAAGACGATGATGATGATGATGATGATGAAAATGATGATGAAGAAGATGATGAGGATGAAGATGTTAAAGATAAGGATAAAAACAAGGATAAGGACAAGAATGAAGACAAAGATATGAACGAGGATGAGGACGGTGATGATGATGATGATGATGATTATGATGAAGATGATGATGAGGAAGATGATGATGACGAGGATGAGGATGAAGAATATGATTATGACGAGGATGATAAAGATAAGGATGAGGACAATGGCGAGGGAAAGTATGAGGAAAAGAGAATTTCCTATTAGGAATATTATGCAAAGTAATATGAATATGATTCAAATAGTATGAATTTAAATTGTCATGAACGTTTTGGTAACATGTTTGGAACAAAAAAATAATAAAGAGTGATTATAACGATTTGTGAAATAACAATATGGATAAAAATACTCCCTCACTTCCCCCATGTGAATACGCCCATAGTATTAGTAGAACATACCTGTGTTATAAAGATAATTTAAATAATTCATTATAATATTATTATATAACTCTACAAATAACTACAAGATTAATAAATTAACATTTCTTTTTGTTTCCTCGAAAATGTATTAGCCTTCCTATTTTGTCTTATAAAATTACATCCTATTTCATTTTCTTGATTAGTATTTTTATCAATTAAATTGAGAAGTTAAAGTTATCTTAAAGTATTATTTATATTATATTTATATTAAGTCCTTTAGTTTTCATAATTTTGTTTCTGGAGGGTATGTATCTACTATGTTTTAAATTGGGAAATGTTAAATGTTATTCTTTATTCAAAATTTTAATCTGTTTCTGTTTTTCTTTGTTTACATTTAATAGTATTTAAATACTATTCAATATATATTTATATATTATATTTGAAAGTAGGTTTTATTCTTTAATAAAAAAAAATTGGAATTGCAAGTTTTTTTAAAGACCATTTGGATCTATCTAAAACATGATGCCTCAATCGGTTGCATCTTAGTATTCCACCATGCCATACGATCTTAAATTTTCCCTTAATCTGTCCAATCGTCTTTGAGATGCAATCTTGGAAATTGATTATCATGTCCTCATCTCGATATTCGTCTAAGTAATCCTTCCGGTACATACATTGGTAAATTATAACAATAAAATAATTTAATATACGAATTACGAATGTTAGGTAGGTATAGATTAAGTGTTTATTTTCTTCAATTACAGGTAGGTATTATTTATAAGTCATAAATTATTTTGTTAACCTTTCAATATCAGCTTACGTCAAACCTACATTAAAATTTAATTATTTACTGTGAAATTTATGAACCTGAATGTAAATGTCGTACTTATCGATTGCATATAAAATCACCGTGTCCAATTCCGATTTAATTGATAAAATTGTAAAAATAGAAAAAAAAATCATTGACAACGAATCAACGTAAGTTCAATACGATAATATATGAAATGGCAGTAATTTCGCTATTTACTTCCTGTACATATGCATAGAACTGTAATATAGGATATCATAGTGAAGCCAAAAACTTGTTTTTCTATAAGTCGGTTTGGTTTCGTGGTGAAATAAATTGATAGTTGTTGATACAATGACACGTACTTATAAAACATAGAAAACGGAATATTAAATAATGCGATTTAAATAAAATATTATACCGATGTGATGTTTATTTGTTTATTTAAAGTACGGGCTCATAGCCCAATGGTCACAATTACAAATAAAACTAATATTTATAGGGTAACATAACATAATTAATTAAGATAGAGAAATGAGGGTTCAGCATTGGCATCCTCGTCATTCTTGTAAGAAGCTCATTAGCAGCGTAGGTTGGTCGTAAATACTGTAACATAGAAAGGGCAGCAACAACGTGTAGAAAAAGAGGGCACTTTAAAGTTAATGCATCGAAGAAGGTACTAGAAATCTATAAGACCTAACTTGCTTAGAAAACCTAAATTTGCTCGAGCTGTTCTGTCATTTAGAGAGGACAATTTACTGTAGGTAATCAAGAACAGGTGTAGTTGATCTATTTTCAACACAAATCCAACAAAGGACAAAACTTTATGCTGCACTCACTCCACGGCATAAGCAGTGATATGCGGATGATTCGAAAACATAGACCGAACAAAAAGGAGCGAACAAGGCACAGTATACGATTTGATTGATGCAACTAATTTAAACTGAGAACAAACATGTTTTACAAAACCAAGAATTTTTAATAGTATTATTAATTTATAGTAGTCATATCAGTCAGAAATTAATTTGAGGAGGGGTTATCAAAAAAAGCTTTTGGGTTTTAGTTAATACATAGATCAAATATATTCATAAATACTCACGTGTAAATTTCGGGGGCTTAACCCCCAAAACCCTTCCCTATATACGCCACTCAGTCACTTACTAACTGTTTTTTAATATTAATCATTTATAATTTTTCCTTACTCCACATACATATTTTATATTATTAGTAATGACTAAGAAACTCTTTGTTATTTTTTCATGGACCAAAAATAAAACATAATTGAATTGGTCACGATTTAGACGAAGAAATTCCCGAAATTTTTCATCGTCCTTAATAAGAGTCCACTAATTAAATTGTTAAAGAATCCTTCAGAGTACCTAGTCGAAAACAAACTTGAAAGGTTTTCTCATTTTTTTTTTTTTTTTTGGAATTAAGCTCATAAGTAATTTATTGTCAATTTTTTCATAATGAAGCAATACATAATTCACAAATAACATTACTGTTACTTAAACAGTGTTCAAAATTAATTTCCTATTCATTTTGAAAAATTTAAAAAGCAGAATTTTGATATGGAAATTACTCCTGGATGAGACAACGGTGCATTGTTTAAAAAATAGTTTTGTAAAATTAAACTAAAAAAGTGGGATAAAATAATAAAATATGTGTCTGACGTTATAGAAGAAATTGGATAAACATGACATCTGAACGTTGCAGGGCAACCGCACCTTTCACAGAATGTAGTTAATACCTTATTACACGTATTTATATATTGTGTACTTTATAATAATATTGAATCTAATAATTCATTTTAAAAAATATAAGTTACCTATAACAGTTTAAAGTTATAACCGAAATAAAATAAAAATAATAAAATAATTTATAATACGCCCATTATCGTAGTATAAAAAGCAAGTGAACAAACGTCGATAACGAGATAAAAAAAACCGCTACACTAAAAAATCGAAAACGTTTTCGTGAAACACAGTTTTCCTACACGATTTTACTCCTTGTTATTGGGATGATTATATGACCATTCATACGTTCGGGGATTTCAGATGTACGTGTCCGTTGTACATAATTTTACAACGGACACGTTGCAATTGTTGTTTTAATCGTTTTAATCGTTGTTTTAATTGTACAATTAATTATGATCAGTGTAGCTAAGATCGGTAGAAAAATGAGTTGGGTGCCAAAAGACCGGTTTCGGAGGAGCAGGAGGTAACTATTAAAACGTTTGTAACTATTTTTCCAAAAGAGTTGGTTCTTAAACCGTATTAAAAGTATATTTGACCAAAGTCCGAGGGGTAAAATAAAAGTAATAGTTTATTGTATTTAACATTAATTATATTGTAAACTAAATTATTTTAAAAACATAATCGAGTCTAATATAAATAAAGGAGATAAAATAAAAATGATACTATAATAATTATCGACTATACTTAATTTTTATAAATGTGTTATAATACACGCTTATTATTTGTTTAGAATACATTTTTTCTGGCGAATCATTTTAAATTCATATTAATCCACCAATGAATCCAAATTCTCTTCTAAAAACAATCATAATTTTTTGTAATAATAATAATTTCGTCTCAACGTCTCCTTGCCTGCAAAATCATCAAACTTCATTAATTTTATTAGGCACATTCATTAAGAGACCACTACGTTCTAAGCGGTAGCGAGTATATATATTTTCATATGCGTGATGGATAACTTTTAATTAGACCAACACTTTTTTTGGGTATTAATTTAGAAGAAAAAAACACCATAAACAGCTGCATTTATCGTCTTTGTCCTACTCACGGGCAATACGACAAAAATGCGTTCTTGTAAAGCAAACTAAAATAAATTTAAATCGGTTTCAGAGGGAAAACATCTACAATAAAACTTGTTGATGATAATATTATGAAGATGATATCTTAAAACGACAATAAATTTATTAGTAGGTACAGATAATATTATACCAGATTATGTGTTACACGTTTGTATTATGGAAAACTTACGGACAAAATGCAAGAATCAAGTTTGTTTTCATGTTGAGAAACAAATTATTGTCAACAACTTTGAAAATAATATGTCTTTTTTTTTCATTTTCCAAACTATCATAATAACAATAACAATCATAATTAAATCAGTATAACGCTTCCGTAATATTATTTTCCTGGAGCGCCTCGCTGTAAACGAAACAAATAAAAACATTCAAATAATTGCAATGTACCTACCGCACGAAATGCTTTTTTTTTTAAAATAAATTATATTCGAGTTTCATACTACCTGTGTCAAACAGGTTATGGATAGACAATTTATTTTATCGTTTTACGAATACCACATTCGCCTCTCAGAACGGCAAGTTACGTCGTGCACGGCGGTCAACCGAGTTCAGAATCTATCAAGGTTCACCGATAATAATATTCCCGCGGAACGTCTCGCAGCGAAAATGAAAATAAATTTATTTTTTATCTTGGGTCTCACAGCCGTATCTAATTACGGACTCGTCAACGCCTGTAAGTTTGCATTATGATATACCTAGTATAATATTATTTATAACGATATGTATTTTAATCGATTATTCGTCGCATTTCGGCTATTCATTAGGTTTTTTTTTTTACAGAGGGTGGGATTGTTTTACTCGATTATGAGTTCTTGTACACTTGCAATTTAATAGAGATTGTTTTAACGTATTTTATTGGTATACGAATGATACGGATAGTTTTAAGGTTTTTGTTGTTATTTTAAAAAATTAGCATTGTTTTGTGCATGGACGGCTACAATACGATTTAGAACGTTCGACCTTTTTTAGCGTACGATTGAGAAAGCTTGAAATGGAACAATGAAATAGCCGCTGATCCAACAAAAAAAAAAAAAAAAACAGTATTATTAACAATATTGAGAACGAAATTATGTGTAACTTTGCCGAACTATATTCTAATCAAAACTCATAAATAAATTATGAAAAACTTATGAAACATTTATAATAAAACGGTATTTGTGGGAGTTTAAAACAATTCAATGTTCACCACGTTCAGAGGATACAATAGGATTTTTCATTTTATTTAAGTATTAACGTAAAATATTTCACACATTAAACGCATAATACGGGAAACCGCGTACTGAGTAATGTACTAATGCGTATATTTTGATTATTCGTTGCAAACAATTCGTTATTGTTGTATTTATATAAATTATCATTATTGTGGATTCAGTAATGTGCCACCTCAAACAACAATAGGTAATCATTAAACTTGATTACGATACAAGAAATACGTATATTTTTGATTGGTTGAGTTTTCAGATCACTATATATTTGGCAGCGTTGCGTGGAATTATAAAAACCGAGCGTTCTCAATTGTAATAGTCAAAAATGTCTAAAAAATTGACATTGACAATAATGACCGTTCTCAATCGTATTTCTGCCATATAGACAGTGTGTTTATGTTTTCGAATAAAAATAATTATTCCAGGCGGATTTCCTTGAATTTGAAATTCCGTTTCATCGAAAAATAACACATATTATATAACATCTGTTTTAACACTTCAATGCCCAATTGTTTTTTCATACAACAAATATCCTGAACTAATTTTGATGTGTTCAATTCGGTAAAAATAATTTTAAAAATCCTATGTTAAGGCTTGCACTAGAAAATTATAATTTTATTTCTAAATTACTAAAATAAACATGAGTATACCTACCACGCAATTAATTATTTGTGTGTTATGAATGATTAAAAACTTCGTAAACAAAGTGATCCACTAAGCGATTCACCTTTACCCAATTGTTTTGGTTAAATTTTGCATTTATTCAAATTCCGATTTTGGAATTTTTAAGTGTAGTTAAATACTTTACCGATACTTTTGAATACTAAGCTATTTCACGAAGTTTAAGGAATATCCTGAGGCGATTTCAACTTTTTTTTTCCAGAACCTATATCAAAAATTTCATAAGTAGACTGAGTATTATTTTAAATAATTTTGATGTCAACGTTTTTGATTTCTGTCAACCCGTTAACGAGAAATTCCACTTTTAAGTTTAGGTAGTGAAAGAGTAGTAGAGTATCATTTGCGTGGCGGCACGGCTCGCAGGATTTTATTGGTTTTATCTAACTATCTTTAAACGGTGCAATGCACTTTTTGTAATCCGCATTTAGTGTAGAAACATATAAATTAAACATGTTGCGTTTTTAAAATAATGGACATTAGAGTTAAATTTTGGAAACATCGACAAAAAAAAAAAAAATAAATAATTTTTAACCAAATTTAGGTAACTTTTGACACATAAAAAAATTGTATTCTTCAAAATTCTTTGATAAAGAAAATAGCACTAGGTGTTTTAATCTAATGTAAAAAATAAGTATTGCTATTTAAAATATAACATTTGTATTACGCTTGGTACTTTCGATTCAAAAGGGTTATGGAATTAAAATCTGCCCTAAACTATGTATCTCAATACCCCATAACCTGCAAACGGAATTAAAATCTAATGATTTTTTAGCGAATTATTTAATGTTTACACGAAAACATAAACAAACTGTGTATAATATATAGTTCAAACTTCGAATATGAGTTTATTGTTATAACTTATAAAATAATTCAATGATATACTAATATAATTGACCACGTATAAAATACGAGCGTACGATTTTTGTTTTATAATTTGTTTAAACATTTTAATTTCAGATCCTCAAACACGTCAATTGACAAGACATACGATAGATCGCGATTGTTTAGGATGTATTTGTGATGCCGTGTTGTGTAACATAAACATAATGTGCGATGCGAAACGTGACACATGTGGACCGTACCGTATAATGTCCACGTACTGGATCGATGCGGGAAGACCGGTATTACAAGGGGATAATCCGATGAATAAACTCGGTAAAAATATAATATCTAATTTATCGAATGTTAAAATATTTTAGGAATTGCACACCTGAGTTTTAATTATATGTGTTATGTTACACGAGGTTTTATAAGAGGGGCAAATAAAATGTACAACTTAATACGTGATCGACAATTTCATATAGGCGAGGGAATTTGAATATAACTAGTTGATCATTAAACATTTTTCCAGGTAGAAATTAACACTTGGTATACATACACCTGCAAACCGGAAACAGGTAAAAAATAGACAATGAAAAAAAAAGATAAGAAAAGAAAAGCCACTGAAAAAAGATGACAAAAAATGACGATATTGTTTTTTTTTTTTTTTTAAAATGGCTTAATTTATTAAAACTGTCCAATGTTAAT